GGTGCTGCATTCTAGGTTGGTGGTTGTCTTAGTTTGAGTTCTCCCAGAAAGACTCCATGAGTCAAGGATTTGAGCACAAATGGTTTATTTGGGAAATGATTCTAGGAAATGTTAAGGGAAGTAGGTTAGAGGGGAAGCCAATTAAGGGTGCATTATAAAGCAAGCTATAGTGGTTGATAAGTGTAGCTTGATCTCATGGGGCTCATGGTGAGACTATAGCTCCTCTGTATGCATGGCTTCCTGTGCTACACATACCTGGTTATGATGTGTAGTATCAGCTACCATTGCCCCTCAATGTGTGATGCACAGTGGCAATCTTGAGATCACCTTTTGTCATCATTTTTACATCTTTCCTTACACTGAGTCTCTTTTTAGATTCTATACCTGTCCCTTTTCTTGATTTATACCTTCATTTTGGTAGAATCCCCCTTCCATTCACTTGGAAAGAAAAATGATCAGAAACCTTCCTTGTGTGTTTGAAAATGTCATTGTTCTATCTCCATGTTTCATTGATAATTTGAATATAGAGTTATATATTATTTTCTTTAAGAAAGTTGGAGTCATTGCTCCCATTGTTTTCTGAAGAAATGTCTCATGTTCGTGGTATTCTCATGTTCAATGATCTTCTAGTTCTTGATATTTATATAGAACCTATTTTATTCTTTCTGAAAGGTTTTAGGAACTTTTCTTTGTTCCCAGTGAAATTTCATATTAGTGGTCCTCTTTGTAGACCCATTTAGCCATGTACTGGGCATTCAGTGGACCCTTTCAATCTGGAAACATACATATACCAGTTCTGAGAATTTTTCTTTAAAATTTAAAAAGAATTTCTTCCCCTTCTATGTGTTTTCCTTTTGGAACTTTCATTATTTAACCATCAGACCTCCTGGACTAATCCTGATTTTAAGCTTTCTTCTGATTTTCCATCTCTTTTTAAAATTTTGTCCTCCTTTTAGGGAGATCTGCCTCAACTCTGTGCTTCTAATGATTTTTTAATTTTATATTTTAATTAAATTCACATATACAGTTAAATTACATTAATTTCTAAGAGTTCTTCTCTGTTTCTTTTTTTTATTTCACAGGCAAAGTATCTTTAGACACCTGAGAACATTAATGATAGTTATTGTAGGAAATTGCCTATTTGTTTTGGCTCTGTTATGTTAGAAGCCCTTTTCAAAATCTAGTGACAGTGTCTGTCTTTATCCACTTAGCTGTAGGGCAGTAAAGCTGTGTGGTGGTCAGTGGAGGCTTACAAACTGTAATGGGTTATTTCTAGGGTTATCAGCCTAGAGTTGTATTGGGTGCCTACAACTATCAGTGTCTTTAGGTCTCTTCTGGATTGGTTGTATACTCCAGAGAAGAATCTTCTAGTCCCCTACCCAATAGGTACTAACCTGGCTGCCAGTTCTCTGGGGAACAAGAAGGGGAGGTGGGTGAGGAATTTCACAGTTCAGTATGTGGGCTGGCCCTAGTGCCCTGTTTTTAATATGGAAACCCACCCTATGCAGGGTTGGTTATCTTTTCTTCTCTCCTAAAAAAATATTATATTTTTCAACAAAAGGAAACAAGTTTTCTAGTTCCCATTCTCTGTTATACCTCAAAAGGCTCTTAGGCACATGAGTCAGAGGATGGGGGTGTCACCTGAGAGACTGTAAAAATTTCTGAGAAAAGTAAAGTGGTGGAAAGGAAAAAAGAATAGTTTGAAGGAGAAGAGACCATATTATAGGAATTCTAATGTCTAAAATTTATATTTTCCTGGCTTATTCTCTGTTTCTTAAAAGATAGCTTTTAAAAAATCATTTAAAAACAATTAGGTTACATTTGAAGATGATGAATTCAGAGGTCTGAAGATTTCTTTTAAGAACACAGAAGTTTTACTAATCTAAGATTCTTGAGAAATATTTAATGAGTTTGTGAATGAATGTAAAAGTTAACCTCTTCATAATATGAATAATGATATATGGATTAATAGATATTTTAGATTATTTGAAGAAATAAACTAATAGATAGGGTTTTCTTCCTCTTTCTCATGAAAACATAGAATATATCCAAGATCTTCTTAAATGATTAGAAGAATAAAACTTTTTATAATTAACCAACATTGAAAATGATGACTTTGAAATTCAGCCACAGTATATTAAACCATTCCAGTGACTTCTGGTAATTACTTACAGCAAGATGACGTTTTACAGAACCAAGATATAAGCACAAATCAATACCAACTTTCTTTTCGTAAAGGAAGTAAGTTCTTAGAGTGTAAGATGGTCAAAACACAATTGAAAGGGGTTAACCACCATGTATGTTTTCAGTACTCTGTTTTTTTGGTCTCCATTTATCTTCTTTCCTTCTATTCATTCTATAATTCTTACTGTCTAGTGTTTGCTTATTTCACTTTTATTTGTGCTTATTAGTTCTTCTCTGTGTTCCCCCACTTCCTTGTGCAAATTAGCTGTCATTCCATTTATGCTGGTTGCCATTGTCTATTTATCTGACCTCTCACTTATACTATGAACACACCGAGGTCAGGGACTGTCTTTTCTGGATCTCTGATAGGACTTATTTTAGAAGAGGCTTTGAAAATATATTTTAATGACACTGTTCCCTTGAAAATGTGTGACCATGTGGAATTTTCAATTTTTGAAATTTAACGTGTATTATATATATTTTTCTCTGAAAAGCAAAGAATATGTGAGTTATATATATTTTTTCAGTTACCACCAGGCTTTACATATTAGGCCAGCTAACTGCTAACTGCTACTCACTGTGTGATTCTAAACTTGAAGATACTGCCCTCCAGAATCCTTCTTTGCTATGCCCCACCCCCACAGACTGGGGTGATGCTATCCTTCTGTAACTTGCTATAATTCCCCAGCATGGCACTAAGTATATACACTTCATTCTAATTGCTTTTAAGATAGATGTCACCCTTAATTCACTGTGAGCTTCCTAAAGGCAGGCAGCATAGCTGCCTTGTTCATTATATATCCCTGGGTCAGGGCCAGGAGGGACCCTCTCATGATTACTCTCCTCATCTCCAGTTTTGACCTTGGAAGCCCAAATTTAAATAAAAGTCTATTTATGACATACTGAAGTGTTAAATTACTACATTGTACACCTGAAACTGATATAACACTGTGTGTCAGCTAACTGGAATTAAAATAAAAACTTTAAAAAACCAAAGAATATTTGGAACCCACAATCCCAGCTTGCCTCAGCTTGATAGATGGCTGCCATGTCTACTTTCACCCTAGTATAAATCTGGGGGTTAATTCTCTTGCGAGATCTCTGAACTGTAGGATATCAGACACATACCTGAGCCCTAACCCTAATCCCAACCCCTAAACCCTAACACTAATCCTCTGAAGGATCCTGAACTGCAGGATACCAGGCACGTATCATCACCCTGACCCTAACCTTAACCCAAGGTCTGAGGAAAAAGAAAAGAGATGGTGTGTGTGTGGGTGTGTGTGTGTGTGTTTAATGAAATATTACTCAGCCATAAAAAAGAATGAAATCTTGCCATTTACAATGACATGGATGGAGCTAGAGAGTATAATGCTAAGTGAAATAGTCAGAAGATGACAAATACCATATGCTTCCACTCATACATGGAATTTAAGAAATAAAATAAGTGAGCAAATGGGAAAAAAAGAGGGAGGCAAACAAAGAAACAGACTCTTAACTATGATTAAGAGTTAACTGATGGTTATGGGGTCGGAGGAGAGGATGGGTGAGATAGGTGATGGGGATTAAAGGGTGCAGTTGTGATGGGCACCAGGTGTTAAAGGGAACTGTTGAATCACTATATTGTACACCTGAAACTAATATAACACGATGTTAAGTGATTGGAATTTAAATAAAAACTTAAAGACTCTTAATCTCACAAAACAAACTGAGGGTTGGGGGGGCAGGGGGCGGGTAAGGGGGTGGGGAGAGGGTGGTTGGGTTATGGACATTGGGGAGGGTATGTGCTATGGTGAGTGCTGTGAAATGTGTAAGACTGATGAATCACAGACCTGTACCCCTGGGATAAATAATACATTATATGTTAATAAAAATAAAAACTTTTTTAAAAAGGCCCATTTGGAACAAATGTTTCAAGATTAACTATTAGCCACTGAATGCCGGCAGTGCCTTTGGCTGTGATTCTATCAGGGTTTACGTGCCAGTGGGATCCTGGACACAGTCCTAGGCTAATGTACGGCCCCAACTCTAATAATGAACCTGAGGAAACCCAGTATCCGAGCATCAGGAAAATCTCCTTCACTGGTTGTTAGCAAAACTTCTTCTTCCATGAAAACTGGAATTGCTTTCTAGGCATCTCCTTTTAAAACAAAAGCAAAAAAGAAATTGAAGTGCTGTCTTTGTGGCACAAAACTAATTCTCAGAAGCCATTATGTGCTGGGGAAGTGATTAAGCCTTTTTAATGAACACGATATTTCTGTTCTTCATGGGTCTGTTTACTATCAGAATCTCAGTTGAGCAGTGATTTTGAAAATAAGGGTGTAAGTGAAACTTAGCATGAGGCTTAACTCACACTGCAAGAATTAACAGTTTCATACTTTTGTCATAGATTCCTAGGGTTGAAATATAAAACTGGAATCCTAACACAGAGAATACCTAATTCAGGGGTTTTAAAAAAGCTTTCTGTGGGGCCTCCCAGCTCCACAGAGGGGCTGCCTCAATGAAGAGAGGATCGGAAAGGTGCACGGGAAATTGGGAAAAGAGAGCATGATGGCGGGTGGGATCTCCCCCCAGAAGAGCTTTGCCTTTTCTGTTAAGTTCCTCATAAGATACTGAGAGAAAGGGAAATTTCAGGGATGAAAGAAAAAATGTCTCTATCTATCTGTGGGCCAACTTGCCTGTACTAGAGAAGGTGAAGATGTATTTGTCCGTCACTGAGCTGGTTTATGGACCAGTTAGGGCCTGATTCTCGTCCAGCCCTGTCTCCACTGTATCACCTTGCCTACTATGAAACTGTTTGCTCTCTCTGCCTCCAGCTTCCAGAGCTAAACTCAGCATGATCAACACCATGTCAAAAATCCGCGGCCAGGAGAAGGGTCCAGGCTATCCGCAGGCAGAGGCGCTGCTAGCAGAAGCCATGCTCAAGTTCGGGAGAGAGCTGGGAGACGATTGCAACTTTGGTAATGACTGCTTTCCACACTTCAGTTCTTTCATTTGTCCATGGGGATTTCATGCCAGTAAGACACTCTGCAGGAGATGATTCCAACCGTTTTATATTTTAGTTCCCAGTTTTATGTCTTAGAGATGAGGCCAAAAGTTTACCTTCAGGATCATTTTGTCATTTTTAGTGTGATTTGTCATAGTTTTGTAGACTTTCTTTTTCCCTGATGAGATCCCAGTCTTCACGGTAGCCTATGAACATATCCAGATGCCTGGAAACTAACTGTGCAGTGTGCCCGGCATGACTGAGTGTTGAGGCAGAGGGAACAGTCAGCATGGTAACACCCCGCCCCATGAGCTTTCCCTTCAGTCTCGGCTCTTCTGTACATGTTACCCAATTCTACAGCCCCGGGGGGAATTCCTTCACCCCTCTCTCCTCCACCCTTAGTCACCATACACAACACTTCTCTTTCACTTCTTCATGATAGTCAGTCTCAGCGATTGACTGTCCTTCCTGTTTGAACCCTGCCCTCTGCTCCTGGTATTTGCTTCCACCAAATGCATTGGCCTTAAATGGGTTCCCTACTAGCCCCGTACTGACAAGGGAGGGCAGGGAGCTTCCCCAATTGCTTCTTAAAGGACAAACAGAATTTCATGTTCTTCATAATATGGAATACCATCCCCTTGGTAACGTTGACTCTGTTGTACTGTATGGACCATCTCAGGCAGAAATACAGTGTTCTCTGGAAAGCATTATGTATTGCCTGTATCTTGGCTGTCTTTACAAGACAGGCAGGAGTCCTTGGCTTTTCACCTGAGGTGGTTCTCTTACTGCAGGTACCTTTCACCTTTGTCCTTTAACATACAAGAGAGTCATTCTCCCCTTGCAGGCCCAGCACTTGGTGAGGTGGGGGAGGCCATGAGGGAGCTCTCAGAAGTGAAGGACTCTCTGGACATGGAGGTGAAGCAGAACTTCATCGACCCCCTTCAGAACCTTCATGACAAAGATCTGAGAGAAATTCAGGTATCTGCAACTGATCTTTGGGAAGTGACTGGTTTGAACCTACAAATGTAGGTGCCCTTTTCCCCTCAGAAAACATTTTTTCAAGTTTGTCGTGTGTGGTGACATTTGAATTACAAAATAACTCAGCAAGATAAATTGAGAGAAACCAGAAATGCAATACTTTATTCCACTATTATGACTGTGCCACTTAATACATTCGACTTATCCACATTGAGTTTTCAGGTTATCAACCTTTTTTTCCTCCAGGGGAATAATATCCTTCCCTGATACTACCCACTTTTATTAATTATGGCTTTCTGGGCTGATTTAATCCTCTGAAAGGCTAGCTGTATCAGTTGTAAGCTTAGGTAAATTGTTATACTATCACTGCATAAACACATGTTTCCATATTTTCATAGTGATTGTTAGGACTGAGGAAGAAAAATCCTCCTCTTTATAAAACACATAGAGCCGTTCCAAAGAAATAAAGTTCAACTGGCTTAACCTCCAACTAGGTGTATAATATTTTCTCATTCATTCCTTTGACAAATATTTGTGAAACTTCTCTGAAATTAACTTAACTGTAACATGGTAATCCACAACTTGAAGTCCCCTAGATCTCTTTATTCCAGACTGAGTCTCCTTTGTCCTATTACTTGCTCAAGATTACAATAGTAAGTGGCAGACTCACTCTTAATCTACAGTATTAACCCTGACCCCAATACTCTACCCTACAGTTGACTACAAGTTCACATGTGTTACAAGAATATCCCTTCCAAAGGAACAAACATTTAACTTGGCTCAGGGCATGGATGGGAGGTTGTACAGTGGGAGAGAAGGTCTAGGATATTTTTCTTCCTCTTTTCCTTCTTATTTCTTCACCACTCCCAACTCTCTTTTCATCTCCCTCCCTTTCTTACCATACACACCCAGGATCAGGGAAATCTAGTGTTTTCTCCCACCCATTAGTAATGAAATACTACATCCCTTAGAATAAAAAAAGATAACTTTTCACTTTGGGAAACAACGCTGTGGGTCATTAGACCCCATCTAGCATCTCTTCCAAGTTAGACTTTTTCTGCTGAGTTTCATCATCTACCAAATGGGAGACTTAAACTTATCCGTGATTCCTTGAAGCCACATCAGTCAACAAGGATAAGTGTTAAGATATAGATTCCTAGGGGCGGCTGGGTGGCTCAGTCTGTTAGGTGTCTGCCTCCGGCTCAGATGATGATACCAGGGTCCTGGGACTGAGTCTGGCATCGGGTTTCCTGCTCAGCAGGGAGTCTGCCTCTCCCTCTGCTTGCCACTTGCCCTGCTTGTGCACTCGCTTTCTTTCTCTCTTTCTCTGACAGATCAATCAATCAATCTTAAAAAAAGAAGATATAGATTCCTAGATCCTGGCCCTGGATATTTTAATGCAGGTGATCAGTAATCCATATTTCTGTAAGCAACTTAGGTGATTCTCACAGACTGGTTTCCTCAAAGATAAGCCCTTTCTAGGGTTAGTGTGCTAGGACTGAAAAAGCAAGAATCAGTCTTTCCCACTTCTCTTCAAGGAAATTGTTTTTCCTCTACCTTCTCACGAGACACCATTTCTCTTGAAGATGGGATTGTGTGGGTTCTGTGTAGCAGTGTTTTGCACGTGGATGGCCATATGCTCACATTCCCAGCTCCTGTCGTGGGTTGGAAAGACATATTCCAGCTTGGCTTTGGCCCAGCAAGGGCAGAAAATAAAGGGCACTGGTAATTCCCCAAATTTCTTTCTTGCCCTTAATTATTTTTAAAGATGCTTCTCCACATTTAGCCTTTGGAAGCATTTGCCCCACTGATGCAGTTTTCTTTATTCTTCTGGTGATGTGATATTTTAGAACTTAGCCTGTCTTATTTTGGAAGCTAATAGACATGATGGAGAAGTGAGCTGTAAATAAACCTGTTCCATGAGCCCTTTCAAAGCATATTCCTGCCCTTGACTTTTTCAGCATCATCTAAAGAAGTTGGAGGGTCGACGCCTGGACTTTGATTATAAGAAGAAACGACAAGGCAAGATTCCAGATGAAGAACTCCGTCAGGCTCTGGAGAAATTCGATGAATCTAAAGAAATTGCTGAGTCCAGCATGTTCAATCTCTTGGAGATGGATGTGAGTGCCTCTCCTGTGGTTTCTAATTTAATCTTGCCATTGAGGCTCAAGATTATATTAAAAGGTTATATAATTTAAACTGTTCATATCTAATTATACTATGTAGTAAGAACTTGGATAGATAGATATTTCTTTAAAATAATTTGAAATAATAAAGTAGATCAAGAAATGGTGAGAGGTTTTTTTTCCTGTATTTCCATGGTTTAATTTAGTGAGATGTTTGTCTACTCATGATCTTAAGGAATTACCAGTCATGAGAAGATGAAGAATGTTTCTGATGATCCAAGTAAAAGTCTAGTAGCTTGAAATACTTTGTCAAAATACAGAGCAGAATGACTTCAGATTATAAAGGAATATGACCTAAAATACATTTAGCATTGAGGGTTCAGTATAGGTTAAGGTGTCCTATATTTTGAGATGAAGGTGATATTTTCTTTCAAAAACTAATTTCAATTGAGATTGATGATTGTAGCATAGATACTGTATTTGGGGCAATGTAGTTTAAAAGCTCCTTTTACATTTCTAGTGCACCAAATTATTATTGTTGTTTATTTTTTATTTTAGAGAAGGAGAGAGAGAGACAGAGAAGAGGGGGAAGGAGGAGAGGGAGAAAGAGAATCTTCAGCAGGCTCCATGCCCAGTGTGGAGCCCAACATGAGGCTCAGTCCCACTTTGTCAAAATACTGGGCAGAATCCTGAGATGACATGAACCAAAATCAAAAGCCAGATGCTTAACTAACTGAGCCACCCAGGCACCACGTGCAGTGTGCTAAATTATTATTCATGGCTTTAGAAGTTATATTCTGTTGAATTCTTTCAGCCCTATAGTTATGAGGACTTCCGACCACTCCTGTAATAAAGCCAGCTAAGCAGTTTTCAAGTTCTTGTTCATGCCCACGTCTGGCCTTATCAGTTGTTGACCAGATTTTCTCAAGTGTTTACAGAGCCTCTGTGTGTTGATCTCTTCACTGCTTTGCCCTGACTGGTGACAGGGTGGGCGGGTTGAACATATCTGGACTTCCCCACCACCCAGAGACAGTACAGGTTGGTGTTTATGTAGAACAGCTGGTGTCCCACCTACCTACTGAAGAGGAATGCTGTAGGCACATGGGTGACCTGAGGTACAGTGCTCCTTCCCTGTACCCAGTGCCTCATTCCACCTCCAAAACTCTTGGGACGGCTGCCTTTTTTTTTTTTTTTTTTTTTTCTGACTTGGAGGACAATATTCAGCCAGATCACAATCCGAGACACAAAATGAAGAGTAACTAAGGATGCCTAGAGTACTGGAGCTGAAATGAACCTGAGATGTCACTTGACCCAACCCCTTTATGTTACAGATGAGGCTGAGAGGAAAAGGATTTTCCATACTGCCTCCATGCTGCCGCATGTGGAAAATCAATATTCATATTTTTGTTAACACTAATAGCATGAAAAGCATAGGGAGCAAAGTCTCCTTTGGTCAATGTCTCTTTTTCTATAAGAAATCAATAAAATTAGCCAAATCCTACCTGGAAGTTGGTAGCTAACAATGAGATTACTCAGTGAGAGGTGTGGGATCTTTAGAAGGATTCCTGACAATGTGGCTTCTCCCCATGGTACTGACATTTCCAAGCATACAGGTGCTTCTTATCCTTACCTGATGTGGAACCTACAGAATCTTCGAGTGCTGGGCTGTGTTTCGGGGCAATAGGAATTGGATGGTGAGTAGGATGGTGACCTGATAACTGAGTCATGACCCCCATTGGCCTGCAGATCGAACAGGTGAGCCAGCTGTCTGCGCTCGTCCAAGCCCAGCTGGAGTATCACAAGCAGGCCGTCCAGATCCTGCAGCAAGTCACCGTCAGACTGGAAGAAAGGTATCTCACAGTTCCTGAATTTTATTTCTCATTTTCTTCCTCTGAAACAGTGGGTAAAGAAATGGAAATAATAGAATACATCTGAAGAAAAGCTTCTGCCAAAATTCCTGCTGATCCTACCTTGTGGATCATTCGTTTCTATTTTCTTGTGTCTTATGCTTTGTTATACTTTGTTCCATTGAGTCTAATCTTGTGTTGAAGAGAGGTCCATTCTGGGTTGTATGTTGGCTGCCGCAGGTGGGAAGCCAGGACGCTCCCAGTGATAACGGTGTGAATTGCTTAGCAGATATTCTGGGTGGGTGCTGAAGGCGTATCATCATTAGACTTCCGAAAGCCCTGTAGACGACGTGTGATTAGCCTCACCTACAGGCGGAAAGCCCAGGCAGATAAAGTAACTCGCCCTGGGTTACCCAGTGGTGCAGCAGGGGTTTGCCGGGCAAGCATCACGTATTTGAAAGGCTGAGTCTTGTTGCAGCGTTTCTCTGAATGGGGAGCAAGTCCTCTGCCATCAGAGAGACAGCTTTCGTATGCCTGTTTCTCCTCCTCAGGTGTGCCCCATGGCTGGGCAGAGCTCATTTTCTTTGTGACTAGGTCTCCCTGGACTTGCAGGGCACAGCCTGACAGCTGTAGGCAGACGCCCCATGCTGTCCTATGTGTCACTTTGTCCATCTTTCCTCAGTATACCCTTGTGGGAATGTGTGTTACCCACTGAAGTCTCTTGAAAGATTCAAATCCATGCACTTCAACATACTAAAGAAGCACCATATGTCTTTGTGACATCCACTGAGCACAAAGAGCCATTTTCCTTCTTTCCTCTGACATATGTTCAAAGTCACTATCATTCTATAATCACCATACCTTGAACCCTCCCTTTCTTTGCAAATCTGCTGTACGCTTTGCTTCATGAACACCTAAGACTCTGGAAAATACTTAGAGGTGTGGGGAAGATATTAATTAGTTATACCTTTCCACTTTGTTCCTGTCTTCCGTCATTTTTTCCTGTTTCTTATATCTCAAACCACTCACTGTTCCCAGGGCACACGGTATTTCCTCACTCCAAGCCTTCTCCAGCCCTTAGACCCTTTCTTCTGGAAAGGACTGTTTATCTGGAAATGACCCTTAGCTGTCTTTTCTCCCTCTCCATAAGCCTTCCTGTGGACAGGGAGACTCTTCCCCACTCCCTATAGCATTCTGTGTCTCTCCGTAACAACATTCACTGTAGTTTCTGGTCCTCAGGGGTTTACATTCGGTATCCCTTACTGACTGTAAGCTGCTGGAGGGCAGGAACTGTGTCCTGTTCCTCTTTGTGTTCTCAACACCTACCAGACTGCCCATTTGCAAAGCGAGCTCTGAATAAGTGAGGGAGAGACAGAATGAGATGGTGAGGGCCGGACCACAGAGGGGCATCATGGACAGCAGAGACAGAAACACAGAAAGTGGCTATGGGTGGTTTTTTTTGTTTGTTTTTGTTTTGTTTTTGTTTTAGATTCTCCTTGCTCCATGTTAGTAGCCTTCCTGGATGTTACTGCTTTTCTTTTTGCTTCTTAATTGGCTCCATACTCTTATCCCCCCCCGCTCCTTTTTCTTTTTAATGCAGAATAAGACAAGCTTCATCTCAGCCTAGAAGGGAATATCAGCCCAAGCCACGAATGAGCCTGGAGTTTACAACAGGAGACAGTACTCAGCCCAACGGGGGCCTGTCCCACACGGGTACACCCAAACCTGCAGGTAAGGAGCTGAGACCTGCAGACCCCATGACACGAGCCGTGGGCACACCCCACTGACACTGTCCCAGAAATTCTAGGCGCAGCCCAGTCTGGCTACACAGGAGCTCTACAGTGATCCATTTCTTGCAGGATTTTTCGTCAGGTGGAAACTCTTCTAAAGCTCTCCTTCCTTCTTTTCTCATTGATTGTTTCTTTCCCTCCTTTTCCCTCTTCTCTCCTCTGGAAAACTTTCTTTGTACGTCCCTTTTTCTCTCACTCCCCCATCATCAACACACATTAACCTCCTAAGTAACACATTTGATTTTGATCTTCCTTTGTGGTGTTAAGTCACCCTAATGTGTCAGTTGGGTGCCGGGAGCACCATCTTTGTTTCCTGTTTTTCCCGTCTGCGTTCCAGCATGCATGAGCGTGAACACCCTAGCAGGGCACACCCACAGACACTCACATATAATCCATGGACTGCAGCTCCAGCAGCATGACCAGCTGGAGATCTCAAGTCACCGGAGCATATGGGTGAATGTATCTGTAGGTGAACATATTTCAAATCTCAGCATTGGCTAGATTTCCCTCCTTCCTCCACCTTCAGCCAACTCATTGTACCCTGGTAACTGAAGTGGGTGTATAGTAAAAGCTGAAATTTATTTTCTATCAGGAATATTGACATATACCCAATAATATGTTCTTTTAGTTGGCACCCTTGCTCTCCACCCCCTATACACAGATTAGGTAAAAGCTCATGCTTGAAACATTCTCAACCTTAACAATTCACTTGGGTGAAGAAGTGGAAACTATCTTACACTGGACATGGGCTTCAAGAAATTCAGCATCTCCTCTTTTCCCTGGAGCCCAGGACTTGATGTTCAATAGTAAGAAATGTTTCATGAGATGCTCTCTGGAGACCATGAAGGGAAAAAGTGATGTCTGTGGTGACAGTTGGTCCTTTCTGTCCTTTGTGTTCACCTCCCTGTGGGGAGCCCCCAGGGTTGGGTAAACAGAGCAGTGGCTCTTAGAAGTTCGCTGGCTGCAAGGACTAGTCATGTAAGTCGTGATGAGTTTGCTTCTCCCTATTCAGAAACCAACCACATATTTCACTCTTCTTTTGGAGACTTGTTCATTTTCTGCTTTCATTAAGTGAAAAGGCAGATGACATTTTTTCCCTTTAAAGTCATCTAGGTGACGAGAGCTGTATGCACATGTCTGAGTTTACGTGCCCATGTGGATGCATGTGATATTAAATATAGATGGTCATTTAAAATAGATGACTTTTAAGATATGGTTCCATTCTTCATTATTTTACTCAAGGTAGAGTATGTTACCTTTTGTATGCCAGAACTTCCATGTACTCACCCTTATATATGCAATGGTTTACCGAGAGTAAGTTATATAATTTTTACCTATCACTTAATAGCCACAATAATAGTGTGGAGTAAGTTCTTTTAGTTCTAATGCTAGACAAGGAAACTGAAAGGGAAGTGCCTCGTACAAGGTCACTCAGAGCATGAACTTGAACCCAGGGTCTTACATTGTTTTGTTCTCACCATGTTACAGCAGTTTTCCAGAGACTAGAGTCCTTACCTTTAAAAAATTAGAACTGCACTGTTATTCTGACATTGTCAAGCATTGTCCCTGTAATGAACTCAACTCTTTCACATGTACAGAGATTTTTAAATGCCAACATGGAAAGGATTCTGGCCATATTTCATTAATCTAAATCTCATTAAAACTCCTTCCGTCACTGGGTCTCCCATCTCTGGACATTGTCAGGAAGGCAAACCTCGGTGGACCATGTTGCATGTGTCATAGGCATAGATGAGGCCATTTTTCATACTGGAAATGGAAGCAGGCATCCAGCAACATCCAGGGATCTGAGAAAACTTCCGAAGACTGGTGAAGGGCATATGCCATGCAGTGGCCTGGGGACTAGCCGCAGGAGGAAGCTTCAGCAGGGAAGAGGAGTGAGGGGGGAACATGGGGAATTGCAGGCCAGGCAGGTGAAGCAGGCGGTAGAAATGTGAGTTAAATACCCCTTGTCTTTCTGTGTTCTTCTCTCCTACTTTCACTTCCAGGTGCCCCAATGGATCAGCCTTGCTGCCGAGCTCTGTACGACTTTGAACCTGAAAATGAAGGGGAGTTGGGTTTTAAAGAGGGTGATATCATCACACTCACTAACCAAATTGATGAGAACTGGTATGAGGGGATGCTTCATGGCCAGTCAGGCTTCTTCCCCATCAACTATGTGGAGATTCTGGTTGCCCTGCCTCATTAGGATGTTAGGCTGGCAGGCTTACCTCCTCTTGACCCAGATAGCTAAGTTTAACCACTGCTTTGGTAATGCTGCTTACAACACATCCCAAATGCAGGCCGCAGTGGTCCAGGTCATCAAGCCCCACCGAGTATCTTTGGTTGACTTGTGTGATCCCACAAGAGTCATGGTGATGGGTGGTATCTTCTGAGGCTGGCAGGCATGGCATGTGCTTTTTAAACACCATCTGAGACCAGCCAGTAGTCATGGAACTGCTGTTTACATGGTTCTCAGGAGGCTGTGGCTTCTTAGAATATGACCATGAGCCACAATACAGTAAAACCATCCTACAGAAGATATTGTCTATCACCCAGGGGCCATCTCGAGGTCTCAGGTTCTCCGTTTCGATAGGAGAAAGGTCTTGCTTTCCCATTGTCCCCTCCCAAATATGTGAGTCACCGAATTGTGGAAGAAAGCCTCCCTCACCAGCAACTTGTCTTCTGGTCTGAATGAGTCAGTCCCTTGATGCTATTGGTAGGAAAGTGTTGAATGTGAGTTAAAAACTTTTTCTGAAAACAGTCAGTTTTGTTCCTCCCAATTATGCCTGTTTCTGAGGGACAGCCAGTTTTCTTCCCTCCCTGCTAGTAAAGGCAGAGGGGACTCCCGCTGTATTTCTAAGCAAGACAGTTAGCAGTCAGTACCTGGTAGGTGGGGCTGAAGAGATTCTCCATTATGAGGAAATGGGAAAACATTTGGTTTCCAAGCTTAAATTTCTTGCTGCAGAGAAACCACATATGTATTTAGGCCATTTCTGAAGGTACAGGGAAGAGGGAACAAATATCTTCACTTCAGTTTTATTTGTGAATTACGTGCTTCATGAGTCCATTTGCACAGAGACCCAAGGAGAAAAACACAAGAAACCATTTTTCCACTAGTTCCTAGACCAAGAAACAGTAACTGTCTTTCCTTTCCGCTTCCACTTTGTATTCTCTGAACATCATTTGTGCAGATTCTGCCCTCAATGAGGACCAAATAAAGATGATTTTTGTGCTTAGCAGTTTAAGATGTATGGCTGCACATACAAAAGATTTTCCCACCTCAGTCATTACTTTTATATCCATCCCTTCTATTCCATCTTCATGTCGTGTGTACAGTGCTGTGTGTAAGCTTATGAGTGGTTTTGTGTTTTTTTGTACCAGTTATGAGGTCCTGTCAGGTGTCCAGAGTTCTATTTATCTAGCTGTACAGACTCCTTCAGAGGTTGAACGTGCTGCTTCGGATGTGCCGCCTGCGGTAGTGGGTCACGTGGAGTGAAAGGCAAATCTTACTGCTTAATGTATAAACCTCTTACCACAGGAAGCATCGCCATTTCCAATAAATATTGCTGAAGACACAACCGAAGGCTCTGGTCCGTTATTTCGTGTCTGTTTTGCAGGGGGGTCTCCTTTCAATCTCCATTGCCTTCTGATGCAGCCAAATCAGGCCTGGCTCTGACCTCAGATGTCCCTCTCTGGCAGCAAGGGAAGTTTCGTTAGCAAGAAGTAATCCTAGGAAGAAGGTGATTTGGGAGAGAAGATAAGAAAGTGGGGAGAGGAAGTCTTCTAGAAGTTACAAGAGGTACCATCAGTGGTGATATCAAAAAGATAGAATGTTCAGAGACACAAAATATGCCATTTCAACCAGTTTTTTGTTGTCTTTCATGCTTAAAGAGAAAGAAATAGGGAAAAATAGACTGACCAAAGCCATCATTCTTTTCTCCACACATGTGTGGAGGTGGGGGAGGGGAGCTGTGCCTACAGAATATGTATTTTCTGAGCTTCTGCGAAAATAAACATGTTTTTTATATATTGGGTGCCCTTTGTGTTCTTCCATGCTAAGGCTAATAATCCAAATATTCTGATCTAACATGAACAGTTTTAACCTAATATATGAAGTTCTATATATGAGCTGCTCTAACATGAAAATAATATTTTTGCCAGCTACGTGAGTTAGGGTATTACAGATCAATTCTTAAAACTAATTTTAAAAAGAAATTACCAGTGATCTTGTGAATGGAGAAAATACAGAAAAATCATAGGTATATGATATAAGGTATCATAGGTATAAGATCAATATTCAAAAGTTACTTTATTTCTATATACTAGTAACAATCAATTAGAAGAGTGATTTGAAAAATCACTTACAGGGCTGCCTGGGTGGCTCAGTAGGTTAAGCCTCTGCCTTCAGCTCAGGTCATGATCTCAGGGTCCTGGGATCGAGTCCCACATCAGGCTCTCTGCTAGGCAGGGAGCCTTCTCCTTCCTCTCTCTCTCTATTTGTGATCTCTCTCAGTCAAATAAATAAAATCTTAAAAAAAAAGAAAAAAATCACTTACAAAAATTCAAATCCATAGGTATAAGTCTAATAAGAATTATATAAGAACTCTCCACAGAAAATTATGAAACATGTTTGAGGAAAAATGAAGACCTTAATAAGTAAAGAGACTCTCTATATTTATGGATTGGAAAACTCAGCATTGTAAAGATGTTATTTCTCTCTGAATGGATCTATAGACTTAGTATAATTTCAACCAAAATCTCAGGAAGCTTTTCAAATTTCTTAATGTGTGAAAATAGACAAACGTAAAACATACAGAGAAATGGAAAGGGATATTTCTTCTTGGAAGACTTACTCTTTCTAGACATAAAGTTATAGTGGTTGAAATAGTGTGATATTGATGCCATGATAGGAAAAAAAGATCTGTCCAGAACAGAGAGTCCAGAAAGAGAGATGCAAGCATTCAACCATATTTGAATCACTGCTTTGTTTGTAACGTTACACAACTAGGTAGGACTGTACCTGTGGAAAAGTCGTTTTATAAATTCAAAGGGAAACCAATAGCAAGACTTCACCAAATAGAGTAATCTCGTTATGAGTCAGCATCAAGTGAAGCAAAAGTATCATGAACACAGTTTCCAAGAAGAACTTAATGTTTATTTGAGGGAGTCTTAGAGAGCATGAATAAGACCCTCACCAGGTTCAGTACCCCTGAATTCTATATTTTTACTGAAGGCTTTTTACAGAAGTTTGAATACTGAAATGAGCAGTCAGTTCGGTGGCCCACCCACTGGGGAAGTTGAGCCCAACCAAAACACTTGTTCTAAGACTAATCACAGAATAAACTGTCTGAAGTGGAAACAAGCGAACTAAACTAAAGTGAACTAAAATGGAAAACAAGTTCAGTGAGGCAATTGTCCCATTTTTTTCATGTAGATATGACAGGTCTTAAGGAGAAAAATTTCTCTTTGCTATAAGTAAGTAGACAGCAAGAATGACATGACTAAGAATTGAAATTTCCTTGGGACCGTATGGTAGAGAACATAGCTCCTGGAATGTGCTGAGTCCTATTCTGTGTAGGCCTAGCAGGGCTTTAGGCAACCAGGATTATCTGGAGACTGTTTTCAAGACAGCCTCTAGTGGTCTGAATGGAACTATAGGGGCACTCTTAAGGTTCTTATTTTAAGACTCTTATTAACCAAATTAAGAACTATGCAGGCTGCCTCTCATCCCATGAGGATAGCGATGATGACGACATAGGAAGGATTTAATGGTGAACCAAGTGGCAGCCTGAAGCACCCACTTAGAACTTTGGGTGATGGTGGCTGAAGACTTTCAGGGCAGCATGGAGAGGCGGCTGCACTATCAATTCCTAGGCTCAGCAACTGGGAACCAGCTGTGAGCCCCACGTTAAAGGAGCTGTCAAGGAAAACAACAAGGCTACTTTTTAAAATATGAAATGAATAAATGAATAAATGAATACTAAGAACCTAAAGGTCAGATCATTGAAAGTCACTCAGCTATCATGTATGTCTAAGTCATGGTGGCCTTCCACTTGAGATGGGAAGAGCTGTGATTCTTGACAGGACTGGAGCAGATTGTCAGCTGTGGAAGCAGAAGAATGGAGAGCAACATGGATGGCAATACTATTTTCTTGAAAAGGAACCCTGGGCTTTTTTGTACTACCTTAATGTGATTAGGAGCTGATACTAACCCAAGGCTACGATTGTGGTAACTTCCTTCAGACAAGAAATAAAGGTGTCTACAGCAGGGGAGCAGAATATAGTTTAAGTATCCAGAAAATGCAAAGATGTTTGGAGGCAGGGACGCCTGGGTGGCTCAGCCATTAAGTGTTTGCCGCTGACTCAGCTGATGATCCCAGGGTCCTGGGATCGAGCCCCCGAGTTGGTCTTTCTGCTCGTCAGGAAGCCTGCTTCCCCCTCTCCCACTCCTCCTGCTTGTGTTCCCTCTCTTGCTGTGTCTTTCTCTGTCAAATAAATACATAAAATCTTTAAAAAAAAAAAAAAAGAAAAGAAAAGAGTAGATACTTGGAGGCTTCTCTGTGATCTGGGTTATTTCTCCCCCTGGCAAACGTGGTCTCAGAAACAAGGATTTCACATACACTACTGTGTGTTGTCTGAAAAAAATGTAGCATTCACTAAATCAGGAATTTTTCTTTCTTTATATTCCAGGCAGGCAAACTGTAGAGTTATTCACCTGGCAGAATCGATCCTGATTATAGGCTTTTAGTGGCCTTTAAGCAGTAAAAATGTTTGTATTTGTAGTGGTGTGTGAATTTCCTATCATTCTTTTCACACCAGGAAATCAGGCACATTCAACACTTGTATAAGATGATACTTGGAATTCAAGGGGGAGGAAATGGAAACCATCATTATTTATTACACCCTATCAAGCACTTTGTTAAGCTCAATATATATGATTTTGATTGAAGCCTAAGGTTTTAAACCTTAAATGCTTAGCTCTTTGGGGCTGGTATACCAGAAGAAAGCTCTGTAAACAGGCTGATTGTTTACCCAAAGTAGTGTAGGATAGTTACCGGATTTAGAGCATATAAAAGAAAAATGAGAATTTACCAATGTTACGAAGTATCTTAGCAAGAGAGAAATTATGAGCTGCTTGATGGTGAAATTAAGAGACTATAGGGCCATATAAAAGGCTTGCTTTATAGAATTTGAGATGGAGGAGATAAACCAGAAGGTAGAGAGAAGCAACATTTTAAAAGCAACATTTTTCACACTTTATTTCCCTGCTAGTGTTTCGGCTTTCTTAAAAACCGCTTGGTGTGTGCCTGGCTAAAAAAAAAAAAAAAAAAAAAAAAAAATCACATTCCTTTGTTTTTCTAAACCATGTTCAGTCTGGGTGCTGTCCTGGCTCCTATCACAAGTGGCAAGGCCCTGTTGTCTCTGTTCTGCCTTTGGGGAAGGGCCTCTGGTTCTGGGCCTCAGGATGCTGCCCCCAAGTTTTCTGGAGCAAGCGTGGGTGCTCTACTGGGAAGGGCTGCTGGAGCCCTCTGTGCCTGAGCTCCATGCTGGCCCTCCGTTGAGGCCCTGAGCTCAGCCCCAACTGTGACCCTAGACACAGAGGCATTTCCGTCAGTGTTACCTCACCGCCTTGTTCATGAAAATCACTTGACGGTGGGAGAACAGGACACATATCCACTGCTCTATCCCCCGCCCCCAACCCCTCCCATCTAGTCAACTGCCTAGAGTTTCAGAAAAGACTTGAGTTCAGCAGAAGCTGCACCAGAGATTCTTACATGTATCTTCTCAAACCTCTGCCTCTATCAGGACTCATGGAGGTAAAGAAATCCAAAAGGAACCCAGAGTCTCCTAAACTTGCAGATGACAAGAGTTACCTGGGGGTGCTTGCACAAATGGCACC